TGTCCTTTTCTCTATCCTTTTCCCTGTCCCTGTCGCCCGCGGTCATCGTCGGACTTAATTACTTGAACATTTGTGTTTGCTCTGCGGATTAATTTATATTGCTATTGCACTTGTTATTACTATTGGCCTCAGTTCTGAGTGCTGGACATCGGAGTAAGTTTCGAGAGCTCTGGCATATGGGGATTCCCCATATGCACTTGTTTGCCGTTTGAGGCGAGCCTTGATTTGCGGCTATTGTGGTTTTTAATTTGGTTTGAAATTGAATCCTTATTGTAACGTTTTATTTAGGGTTTTTCTTTAGGAATTGTGATGCGATATATGGCTTTCAAGTGTTTATTCTTGTGGTTATTATTTGATTTTGATAAATTATATGTTGTCTGTAACGTAAATTGCGTTACTTTCTAGGTTCCAGATTTAATTGAAACTTAAACTTAATTGAAACTTGAAAAAAATGTTACTGTAGGATTTTTGGGGAACAAATTACAGCACTTTTATAGTTTTAAAAAGTTATCCTTTGATTTATTTTGCGTTCTTGCTAAAATATTAAATTATTTAAAGTCCCATTTAATTGTTATTTTTCTTTTGTGGGACTCTTTCTTGGTATTTTATTCTTTATAAGATCCTGTAGTGTTGATATGCTTTTGTTACTTTATTTGTAAATATATAATTGTATGAGTTATTTTAAATAATGTCTTTTTTCGTTAAGTTAATATGTTAAAATCTGTGTAATATAATCCTCAATAAATTCTCTTCCAAAATATATATTTTTAATTCATTTTCGCCTCTAAATATTCACGAATAAAACCAGCAGCCTTATTGCAATCATTGGTTGACAGTTATCAGTATTTTCTGTCAGATTCTTTCACAAAGCGTTATTGAGTTATGTCACAAATTGAATTGGCTTGCCACTGATTTTCTAGCCAAGTTAACTTGATTTTTGGTTAGAGCACTGGGAAGAGAGAAAGCCACTGTTTTAGCAAGTGAGGAACGCGCACGAGGAGCCGCTGAAAGACTGATATCTCGGCCCGAGTTATCCCGCTTTTATAGCCAACAGAGGCAGCGCAGCTTCGTGTCGGGTCCTTTCAGCAGGACATGCTTCGTGAGATTCGTTCAACTCGACAGTCAATTTATGTTTCAATTTCAATTGTTTTCTAATGGGCGGCTAATTTGCAAAGGACTTGTTGCATTCCATGTCCTGCGGGCGTTTGCTTTTGTAACAAATTGCCTCTTAATTTATAGTTTTATTGTGTATATCCTTCTTGAAATTTCTTTTACTATTTTGGTCAGAGTTCATATTGTTTATATTGCAGTCCTGACAAAAACCTATAGATATTTGATAAATACTTTCTAAATTTTAAAGTTTTGACCTTATCTAAATATATTAATGTCATATAAAAAGAAGGGTTTGATATTCTGCCCGACTATTTCGGTTCTCGAAAGTTCTTGCAGCTCGTGTACAAGATTGATTCGAAAAGCATTTATCACAGCTCTCTCCTCACCCGGGGACTTCATCAGTTCATCATTTTTCATCACTTTGGGGAATTACGGCCCGGCGACGTACCTGCATTTAACCCACCTCCATAACATCCTGGATCAACTCACCCGCAATATCCTGAAGGGGCTGTCACGCAAAAGGCAAACCTCCGCCGGCGGCTCTGCGGGCAGGATGGCCTCCAGTGGAGTGTCCGCATCATCGCCATCGATTTCTATGCGCTTGGGACCCCCACTGCGCTCGATTATCATGGAAAATATCCAATACTGCAAATAAATACAAGTCATGTTCTCAAGTAGGGTATATTTTAAGATATATTATTGAATTAAAATGTATTTTTTTGGATCAATATTTTAATACCAATAAAGGTGAGTTATTCTGAGGAAAAGAGAAACCTCTAGAACTAAAAGCAAATGCTTAAGGATTGTATGGAATCCTTTGTTATATAAAGAGGAATAGGGAATGAAATATGTATTTTTTACCCAGCGAATTAAAGTTTTTAAAGGCTTTTCCAACTACCCTCAAACTGACTCTATTTACTCTCCATAAAAACACCCATAAAAACCCCATGTTTGTCCTGGACTCACCTTGCTATTCCGGCTATTGCTGCCACTGCTGTTGCTCCTGGGCTTGGGAATCAGCTTCGGCTGGGCCTCCATCAGGTCCGGCGGGGACAGAGCACCGCACTGGCCACTATAGACTCCGTTGTACAGCTTGGGCATCCTGGCAGGACGACTTGATCCTTTGCTGCTGCTGCTCGCCTGCCGTGCGTCCGTTGCGGCTGCTGTGATCGTGAAGGGCCGCTGGTCGCGACTGTACATGGCGGCGGTTAGTATGTTTTGATATTTCACAACTTATCTCAAATTATTGTAATCGGGGGCTAATTAGATATTGATTGGACTAAACGGTTTTGCGGACGCGTAAGCCGACAGCAAACCAATTTAGATAACACCGCTTGACAATCACATGATACGAGAGATAAGGATAACACCGAGGAGCACGATTTCCCGAGGACGGTGACTGTGCCGTAACGCAACTGAACCCTGACTGCAACTAGGGCTAACTATAGAGTAACCCTTGGACAATTACACGCACCATAAATATATATATTTATTACGCTATATATATGTATATGAATATATATATAGACGTTTGTAAGTGTGCGTAAGCTACCAAGTCAATGGCCGTTTGTCATCCTTCCATTTAGCCATTGCCCGAGGGAATCCACGAAGCGGCCCATTAACTGGAAGTGTCTAATTAATGACTTGTTTATTTTTGCTAGTCAGCCATGAAAAATTTGCATAATGCCAAGCCTCCAGGATTCCAGCTTACAAATCCTGACCTATTCCCTGTAATGCAGCCTCATTTGTAATATAAATTAGTAGGCGTATTTTCGGTTTTAAATGAAATAATAGAGATATTGTTAGTTACACCCTCTGAAGAGTATATCCTTGGGGTTCCTGGTGATCTAAAATCACTTTAAAGGATATGCAAAGCTGTGCTATATTACATTGCTGTATACATTCCTTTTAGTTTTGTAACGAAAATCTAGGCATCTTCTAGGCATTATCTTTGACTTTTTATGATATCTCCTTGATTTATTATTATATAAATCGCAAAACACTTCCATCTAATACTTAATTAAGTAAAAATTTTCATTAAATTTGCTCCAAGAAAGTTTTACAAAGCTTAAGTAATATTTTCAAGTTTTATTGTACTCCTAAACTCCTGTTTTTAGGTCTTACTCTATTTCCTCCAGTCTCATTTTGAACCGGCTTCTCCTAGACTTGAATGTGAACTGCAACTTGTGTTTAGTTACCGGGAAATTTCTAACTGCGTTTGAATATCCTAATGAAATTACAAAGATATCCATCACGATTTGGGCCTCGATTTCGCACTGCCAGTTGAGTTCAGGGAGTAATGAAATGACAGGCTTTGCCCACCAGGTGAGACAATGCCAAAGGGGCTCTGATTATTTTCACGCGCAGGTGGATGAGTTGACGAAATTTGAGGCATTCGATTAGTGTAAGTGGTGACTGCTGGTGAGCAAATATTATAGCAGACATCGGCCGACCATTGAACAAATAAATCCATTAATTAAGGGGTCATTTTAAGGGGTTATAATGCATCCCTTATTTTGGGTTTCATGGGAAAGTAGTAGCAAGATATGATAAAGACTAAAATACTATTTATAGAGTTCACAGTATGTATTCCAGTCTCACCTTGGTTTAAATCAGTCTTTTATTTTCTCACTTGATCAGTGCACCGAAAATTTGTTTCTCGATGAGCAGCGGACGATGACAATGCACTTACATCCTTCAGTCGACTTTGAATTTGAAAAACTTAAACTTGATTTTAATCTCCGCCAAGACCAGAACGGAGCACACGGAGCAGGCACAACTGCGGCAGCAGCAGGAATTTTCCGAGAATATTCGCACTGAGTTTAACCGCATTTAAGGCTGCTTGCCATATGTTGCCCTGGCGATCCGTTCCTTCGCCGCGGAGGAAGCACTACAAGCACAACGCGGACAAGGACTCGCAACAAGGACTTGAGGCGGCTCTCACAGTTCCAGCTCAAATGCTGATGGACAGGCACTTTAATTACAAAATCTAATTAGCACCTTTCAATATAAATATATATGTAGTTTGTTCCCTGACACTACAGGTCCTTTGACTCCTTTCCTGTTGAGGAATTTGCACTGTTGGGATAACCGTCAGCTCTGATGGCTGGACATCGACTAAAACGTGGCAGCCAGTGCCCAGAGTTCACACTGGTTCGGGGCGGTCCTGATAACGACTGGCAGCCTTTCGTCACTTTGTCGCCTCATTTCGCCGCCATTAACACATTAACCGTCCGGCAAAATGGCAAAATCGAACAGATATAGAGATACCATATGCACACATGGACATCCACATATAGCCCCATTGCCACCCACATGGTGAAATACTTGAACTCAAGTGGGCCTGCGATAGTTCTGGATACTTTAAAGGGCTTCCAGTGGCCGGAAAAGCGGAAAAAGTGATTTTCCAAACAGTGATATTAACTACAATTGGAGGAAGTCTAGCAGAAGGGTAAAGAAGTTGTGACTTCTTGAGAAGAATTTTGTATGTCCTTTAAAACATTCCAAAATGGGAGCTTAAAGGTTACAGTGTTTTATTAATTTGGACAGGTTTTTAGAGATTTACCCTTGTTGTTTTCTTAGGACTTTTTCTTTTTAAAAGCTATTTTTAAATGAACAAATGTTAGAAAGTATTAATTCCTCTTTCATTAGTCCGAAAGTCAATTTCAGCTATAAAGTATTGTCCAGTAGCCACTATCGCTTCTACCCCCGCACAAACACTAAAGTTGGCCATTAGCAATTTTATTTAATTACTTTAGGAACCACAGAACAGAGGAGCTATAAAACAATAACGTAATTTATTGGAAAAATATTTAAAAATGCAAACTGCAATTAGATTTAGCAAACATAAAACAACAAACAAAACCAAATAAGTAAACAAACAAAAAACACTTAAAAAAAACACACATCACTTCAATGGAATGCCCATGAGCTTGGCGGGCAGGCTGGAAAAGGTGACTACCAGACCCAGGACAACGGCTAAAACAAGTGCAGACCAAAGGACATATTTCCGGATGGCGGGCCAGAGAATGTGCTTGAAGGATTTCCAAGGATTCGTCAGGGGATTGAAGGAGGTATCCGGCCGGCTAAGGGATAGTTAAACATATAAACTCTGGAACTAGAAATCTTTTCTAGAACTGAAATCTTACTAGGGTGCTTCCAGAGCCATTGGCGGATCCTGACCAAGTCCAGCCGGTCTGGTGGTAGCCTCCATATCGTTGCATACCTCAATCTGTAACTGAATCTTGCCCTAAAAATAACCAAAAGTCGCATAATAGGAACCCGAAACATTGGATGATGACCTAACCATGACCATGATGCACTCACCGTCTTGACCTTTTCTCTCTTGGGTTGCGCGGGATACGGATTACCCTCGAGGGGAAACCAGCCGGAGATGACCTTGCGCTTGAAGAGATTGATGCGCTTTCGTTTCTTGGGAAACGGCTTGCAAGCCTGGGCGTTTCTGTATGGAACGTGCAGATTGGACAGGTTCAGCTCGAGGGAGGCCAGATACTCATCCTGGGTGATTACGTCATTATCCCACACCTGCAGATAGATAATTGGCGGCCTCTTCAACTCGATCTCCTCCCGCAGCCCCTCCTTGCGCCTTATGACCATCTGCAAATTATAAAATATATGTACGTAACACATATATATGTATATTTGCGAAACATAGAAACGGAAACCGGAGAGTGCCTGGGCGTATAATTAGTGCCGGATTGGTTACCTCCACCAATTAGGCAAGGTCAAGGCAGGACTCACCAGGTCCTCGTTGGGGGAGTACTTCATGCCGAAGACCATGCGCCAATTAAAGGCCGCATCGCCCGCAAATGAGCGGTAATGGATATCGGTAGATTGCTCCTTGTCCTCGTCCTCGCACCATCTGCAAAGCATCGCAACAAAAAAAAAATCGAAAACATCGGTAATTGCATATCGCTTACACGGATCCCGCGTGTAACCCACAGGATAATGGAACCCTCCCTCCTCTACCCTCACCTAGCATCCCACTCACCCTATCACGTATATGTCGCTCATTAGTTTTCCGAAAATGTTCCTATCTCCGGCCTGGATGCCAGTCAGCTTCTTGACCACAACACGCACCTCGAAATACGCAGGCGGCACCGGTGTTATGTCGATGGCATTCGGAACATAGATGTTCGCCTCAAACAGCTCGATCCACAGCTGCAGTTTACCCTGGATAAGGGATATAGATGAGGAGAGGTTAGTTCTTGGTATTCATAAAACTTATATCTAATACTACAGGGTATGATAAACTTATTATCTCATCATTTATAAAGACAGTTCCTGTTGGGAAACCTTAATTTTTAAAGTAATATCCAAAGACTTTTAATAATATTATGAACTCCTAAATAACATTAAATATTCTTCAGAGATGCATTTTATATACATATAGTGCAGATATAGTTTATTTCTTTTTACTTATGTAGGAAATTACTTATTTGTGTATTAAGGAAATAATTTGAAAACTATTCAAATCTTTCATAATCTATATTTATGTGCTTTCAGAGGTGTTTCGTTAATTATAATAGTGTATATTAACAATAACTATATATTTATAGTAAATTTAATAGGTTATATTACATATTTACCAAATGACACACTTTTGTATGTTTAATAGATAAAATAAAAGTCATGTTCTTATCAAACATTAATGGATTTAGTGCAATTTTATGCTTGATAACGCTTGTCTAGACTCTAGACCAATTTTATCATAATTAATGACAGCTAATTATTTATGTCTATATATAGAAAAGCTAATCTAAGATAGTTCTGGCCATAAAATCATAATGTTGGGTAAGGTTAGGTACAAAAACATAATGGATATTATGGGGAAAGTGGAGTCCAATGTAAAATTAATATAGAAGTTCTACTTATTTTCATTGAGAGGTAATTCTAATCCTTAAATATTATGTAATTTATTCCAATTAAATTAAGTTATTTACCTGTTCAACATTTGGATAATCATCACGATAAAGGGATCTGGTCTCCACATGCTCTGGCACCAGTTTATAGCCCAAAGAAGGCAGCTTATCCAGGTTTTTGAGCACCGCCAGGCTTAGGCGTTCGTACATGGGCTCATCTTAAATCAAGGAGTAAGTCTTAATGTCCAATAAAGGCTCAAGTTACTAACCTTTTGAGATTACAGTCTCATCGCCGAAAAGAATACCATCCACTTCAATGACATTACCGTAGTAATAAGGAGGCGGGATTTCCTTTTTCTTACACAGATCCAAGAGGATCTCCGAAGGCAAAATCTTATCATGCCAGTGGTTATAGCCACTCTTGCTATACTCATTGGGCAAACCCACTGTGGCCCGATGCCGAGTCCTCCAGCGATCTTCCAAATCAATGATCGTATGACCAATAATCTCATCCTTGATCTTGTCATGATCGTGAACAACGATTTGCAGCATGTGATCGCCGGGAAGGCTAGCCTCCAGCTCGAATAAACGTCCGAAAACCGGATTGCTATGATTGGGACTATAGTTGGCGCGATCGGAATACGTTTTGCCACCCAAATACAGCTTCACGTAGCAATCAGAGTCGCCTTTCAAATCCCGAGGACGAATTTGGATTCCCTGGACTATGTACACTCTTACAATTAGCTTCATCGTCTCCTGGAGTGCGCGTAGCGCGGCCTGGTCACGTTGCTTAAGTGGATTGGCCATGGGGCGTATCATATCGCCACCGGCTTCCGGATCCTCTAGCACCGAGCACTGACAAGGAGTCAGCTTGAACTGCATCTTCAATGTGGCATAGACATCCTCTCTCGGAGGAGCCTGCTTTTTGAACTTGACTCCGTGGACCAACGGGACTGCTATGGCCCAGTCCTGGAGGTAACCGAACTGCGACTGCTTCTCCAGCTCGTTGGGATAGATGACCAGCTGGTGCTTGTGCTCATGGTTCATCTCCGCTGCACTCCAGTACATTGAGTTGTAGAACTTGGTCCACCAGGTGTACTCCCGCTCATCCATCGACTCCGATTCGTTCAGGTTACTTTCGTGCCCCAGCGCCTTCCGGTTGGCGTAATCAGCCGTCCGCAGTCCCATAATAAGCAACAGTCTTCTCCACCAGCTGGTGATTCTAGCTGGCGGGCCCTCCTCCTCCCATTCCAGCTCGGCTTCATCCTCCGTCTCTTCCTCCTTCTCCTCGTCTACATCCGTGACCGTGACCGTGGTGGAGGTAGCGCTGGAAGTCTGCCTCCTTGCGGAGGACACACACCTGAGCGTCTTGTCGCGTTGAAGGAAACTCGTCGAGTTGGGAATAAGAGCAGCGCCCAAGGTGGACTCACTGTTGAAGCCGGAGAGCAGCACGTCGGTGGCTATGATGGGTGGCCAATACTCCTGCTGGTCGGGCAGGCTCTGAATGGGATGGGGCATGGATAATGTGGAAATGAAAGAAGTCATGAGACATTTATTTACCACTACACCCGAGGCATAGGCCACCAGAAAATTGATTGTGTTCCGTACGCGAGCCATGGAGGGTCCACTGGTCAAGACCAGGTCACCCATCATCACCCTGATCTTTCTCTTGCCCGCCGAACTCATGCTGCTCTTGTTGTAGTTCCGTAATCCCACAAAGAATACCTCCAGGCTGTCGGGATTTAGCTACAGTTAAAAGGTTGACTCTGGAAACTATTCCCGAACTCACATAAAATTCTGCATGTTTGGTTTGATGGCCGCAGGAATTCCCGTGGCCAGCTGTGGCTCCTTGCGCACATCCTGCATACTGGCCTCTTGAGATATTTCGATGAGCTCCGCTGACATTAGCACTTCGGCCTGAACGGAACCCTTCCTGGAGATTGGCACCCATTTGAGCGGCGGTGGAGTCAAGTGTTTCAGCTTCTGTAAATTCTTGTCAGGATTTGTAGACCACCAATGACTCCCTGTGTCCTCCCAATTGGAGCCGGTGGCTCGATCCTCCCTGATGACGCTGGCTGCCACGCAGCCCATGCCCACGAAATCATCGGAGATGATCTTTTCCGATGTTAAAAACTCCAACGAGAGCAGGGGAGGATTTTTCGCATAAAGATTGACGCTCCCGGGAAGAGAAAGGGATTTGAAAGTTATCACCGTATTCCAAATGGGAGTTAGTGTCCCAGGTGCTCTGTATGTTTCGCCGGCCTGCTCTGCAAACATTATCCTCAGGTGGGAGTCGACGACGCTTTTCTTCTCGCCCCCAGGACGAATCTTTGCCTGATGTACATAAACGTGGCAGATGAAGTGCGTCTGTTCTGTGGTTGGCTGCCACAACATGGGCTCGACACTGGTCCAATCCGACTTGATCGTGGCGAGAAACTCCTTCCGCTCGCGTTCCACAACAATGGAAAGGCATCCCGAAATGATGGCAGTGGTGCAACCACAATTGGGACAGGTGTGGGTGCAAGTGGAGGCCTTGAAGGGAAAACTCCTTAGTCGCCAGGAGAGCGTCTCCTGCTGCTGCGGTAGGTCCTGCTGTTGCAGATGGAGAAAGAGTTTGGCATTCAGGCGACACCTTCCCAGTTCTTTCCCTCCCGCACTGAGGGACAGAACCAACTCCGGCCACTCGTCCTGCAGGCGTGCCATGTTGCACAAGGCACTAATCTCGGCCACCAGGCGCTGCAGCTCACTGACCACATCCGCCATGGTGGGGGCCAGGTGCTCCAAGTAGCAGCTGCGCAATCGCTGCCTCAGCTGATGCAGCTTCTGGGGCAACTTGACAAAGTAATCCAGCAGATAAAGCTGCCGATTGATGTCCCAGGTGGTTCGCTGCGGCTTCACCTCGTGGTCGAAGCGATGGGCATCCAGACCCTCCTTAATCCTGGTGAGAATTTTACCTAAAATGGCCCTTAGGCACTTGGCCTGCTCCTCCTCCTGCAGCGGATACTTTATCTGGAATATCTTGAAGATATCCAACTCAGAGTGCTGAAAGTAATTATGAGAGTAAAATTTAAGACTTCCAACTGCAACCATAATTACCATAAAGTTGATCACACCCAGCATAAAGAAATCACTCTCATACTTGGCTCGATTATCCGGCAAACGGACGCGAAACATGCAGGACCGGAAAGGAGTCTGCCGGCGGAAACTCTTGGAGTGCAAGGCGGATATAAAGCGACCCGATGGCGTCCTTAGCTGTCCTTTCAGCACATTGGAGCTGTGCTCGGCCAGCCACGCCGAGATCTTGTATTCATTTTCCGAGGTCTGAATGTGTTGACCCATCAACGGGAGAAACTCCACCAGGTAGACTTCGTCGTGCCAGTAACGTGACTCATCTAGGCCCACCAAAGTCTTCGAGGACAACACATGACTGGGTTGGGCTTCAACCAGCATCTCAGAGCGAAGTTCTATCAGGACACGACCCACATACATCATTGGATTGATGGGGTCGTAAAGGTGAATGTAAGTGGGTCCCAAAGATGGAATTCCTATATAGAAAAATGAATTATTTAGGGAAGATTCTGAAAAATATGTCCCCTCACCTTTGAAAGCGATCTCTTCGAGGGACAACTCAAACTCGGCTACACACTTCCACTGCAGATTCTCGTGGGCTAAAATAAGGATGAGGAGGCGCTGGGCAACCGAGGGATACATCCAGGCAAAGTAAATCTCGTGATTCCATACTGGCGTCGTCGTACTCTTGGCCACCGGAGTTTTGCCCTTGAAAGGATAGAATCTGTACTTTAAAAACGAAAACATACGTCAATGCCAAGTGCCAGATACATTGAAGCCGGCGAACGATACTTGGATCATGTAGCTGCTCTGCCGGATGAAGTAGCCCCGGTAGAAGGCGATGAAGTAGCGGATGTTGCTGGGAGCCATTGAGGTAGCATTTGTCATCAGATTTCTAAGAAGATAAATCTAGAGAGATAAGATAGGAGTACTCTATATCCCCGGATACACACTTCTCGACATCATCGAAGTCGTGGTCCACTGCATACTTGTTCATCGTTTGGGTATCCTGCTTCTCCGGTCGCAGACCGCTATTGACCACGGCACTGTGCTGGGACACGATAGCTATATCGAGTTGCAGGTAGCCGTAGGTGGTGACGGCCGCTTCCTGGGTAGGATTATCCTCGATGGGTGCCTCTAGGCGACCCCACTTCTTGAAGTAACCATGATTGACTTGATTCCATACGCTGTGGAGATCCACCATCAGTTCGCTCACCACTACGTTCTTCTTATAGGTCATGTGCTTCTTCATCTCGAAGAGGATTGTCAGCCGAAGAAGCTCGGCCAGAGTGCAGTGGAACTCGAAAACAAAGTACTAAGGATGGATTACTATAGGTGCTATCTAAGGAAACATCTCTCTTAACTCACACACCTCGTTGAAGAACGGATTCTCCGTATTGGGGTACGACCTAGTGCTCTTGGTCATCTTTTCCATGCTAATACGCACGTATAGATCTCCGGTAGATACGCCCACTTCGATGGCCTTGTGGATGGTGATGCAGACAAGGAAGTCCTGCGGGGCACCGGCAAAACAGTCATCCATGTAGCTCATTCTTTGTCCAAATGGGGTGGTAATCAAGTCTCGGCGATAGGCATTGTCCAAGTCGGATCGAAATTTGAGTGGAAAACATGGCCAGCAGGTAACCATGACCCAAAGCTCATGGCTTTGCTAGTTCGCTTTGAAAGATATTTCAAAAAATTCAACAAACAAAATATAATATAAAATATAAAATAATAATTGACGTATTTACCATTTTCTATATTGAAAAATCGTAAGCTTATTAAATTAAAAAATAGAGTGTTAACTGTGTATGACAAAAGTTAACCATTTAAAAAAATTTACAAAATACACCCAACGGAACGCCAAGGGTTAAAGAAAGTTTTTCAAATGAACGTTATTTTTAACATTCTGGCAACTCTAAGCGATAAGCTTAACTTGACAGATTGCAGCAGAAGCTTTTTCCCGGTCGCCTTGTTATTGCTAGGCTTAGCGGAGTTACTCTGCTAAACTATGGTACCAAACACCACAATTGTTGGAAAAAAGGAAAAGCTTTCCCAGTTTATGAGATATTAACATGGTAATTAATCTGGGAACTTTAAAATCGAACAGATCAAACGATTGATTTATTTGAATGGAATCTATATATTTCATAAAACCTAGGTGTTTCTAGGTTGTGATGGCTATAAAATGTAATATAATATTCTAAATATTTGGCATTCATTAAAAAATAAAACCTCTTCAAATTAGTTTAATAAAATATTACCAGCTTACATTTTTTTAAACGTGGCTTACACATATATGCCAATGCATATGTGACCACAAAACTACTCGTTTGCCCTACAGTGAGCCACGAGCTTTCAGCTGCTGGCCGTGCGCATGTATGGCTTGCAAGTGTTGGTGCGGCTGCTGCGCTGAACCTGCGAGACCGAACCTAAAGCTGAAGCTGAAGCTGAAGTCGCTGGAAAGAAACAGTTGAAAAGCACGGTTCAAAGCAGGCGGTCGCATTCTCGCGTGTAAAGTGTGTTGTGTGTCGACCAGTGTAAGCCACGATTCGAGTTGGTATCGAGTACTGAGCACGCTTACCAGTGTACTGGGTGCAGTTCGCGGTCGGTGCCTGGAATCATTCTCTCTCCCGCTCTCGCTCTTCTCAAGCCGTCGGTGCGTCTCTATCTCGAGTCTCCAGCCAGCGGGTGTCTGTGTGTGTGCGAGTGTGAGTGCTGCTGATTTTGTGTATAATTTTTTGCGCGCGCTCAATCAAAACAGAGCTGCTGTGCGTACCATATTCACTGTTATTAGTTCCTTGGCCAAAAAATTAGAGATTGAGCCTTAACCCTAACAAAAAGCTTAAATTCCGAAAATACCGAAATCATAAAATCTCCAATTCAAATATTCCGGAATCATTGCAGGGTCGTAACTCTTCGACGTGCCCCGTAAATAAATTATTAAGAGCTCGCTCCGCAGCGTGCCTATATTTTACAGGTAAGTTTTTGCGCATTTGTCAAATAAGAAGAGCAAAAAAAAACGAAAAAAAAGAAAGTACAAGAAAAGCAGGGCAACAAAATACGCCAAGCAAATGCTACTGTTCGCAGGAAAAAGCATCCACATCCACCCAACACCGCCCACTGCTGCCCACGCCCTTGGGCATCTCGTTCAGCCCTTCATCCGGGGCCCAGCCCTCGACCATCTTCATCGTTCGTTTTGTTGATACGCACACGCTTTTTGCGTCGTCCACCCCATCTCTTCCCGTTTTTGGCTCCTTTTTGGCGCCCCACCTCCTGCTTCCTTGGATGCTGATTGCTGATGCCCGCCCGCACTGCGCTCCTGGATTCCCTTTTGCCCTCCTGCTTTGCGGTACCGTTGCCTTCTCCGGCCACTGCCCTCGCATCTGTGCCACTTTTCAATTGCGCGGCATTTCTTTACGTTTATCACTTGTTCCCAACCTCACCTTTCCTTCACCTTAGGCAGTGCGAAAAATATCTACAAACTCCTTTTAAATTTTGGTGTTTTTAATAAGGAGTATATTGAGATTGAACATTAAATATTTAAATAGTTTTTAAGTTTTTTATTTTGAAAAATTACCAAAAATTAAGTTTTAAAGGAATTACTTTTATACATTTCATCTTACCCAAAGTTTTAATATAATATTGCCCTGTGCCAATCCTGATTTAAGTTCAGGCAGGAAACAATAATGTCCACATTTTTATTGATGAATAAAATGTTATGTTTGATCTTGGAACATTTAATTACAAAATACTTTACAAATATTACAGATATTTTAATTTTAAATTTAATTGTGGGTGAAATTTAAAACAGGGAAAATATAATCAAATAAATAATTGAAAACGACTTTATTTAAAAGTTGATAGGCAGCTTAGTATTATATTGTAATATTAGTGGAAGAGTCAATCCCCATTTTCTAACCTACATATACATATTGATGATTATTAACAATAAAGCTTTTAAACCTGAATAAGAAACTGCATTTAAAGAATATTTTTTCCTGTGTAAGGCTGCAGTGAAAGGTTCCCTTTTGCAATTTGCTCTTTTTTTCTCTCTCACGTTTTTTCCCCCATTTCTTTTTTTTTCCGGTGTGTGTGTAAATTTTTGTGCAATTTCTTTGGCTCCACCGCCATTCTCTTTTTGATCTTGAAAACATGCTGACTCCGGGTTCTCCAACCCGTTGCCCTTCCCCGCCAGCGACTCCCCCTCCATGAGCCCCCATTCTGGCGAACAACCTGTCCGCTCATTGAGAGCCGAACGAGTTTGTCAGGAAAACCAATAAAGCAAGTAGAATTGTTTATTGGAAACGAGCGGAGAAACGAGAGAAATAAGAGAGGCCGCCAGTGCAAAAGCCCAACAAATCTCGCATTTGATGTACCACTAAATGGGGGAATGGGGCTACGAGGCTGATTATGCTTACTTTCCAGAACTGCAGACTCACTTTTATTTTGTTAGTTTATTCTCTCGTGAAATTACCAATTAAATTATTCGAAAACGCTGCGCTCTGCACGGAAACGCGGGGAATTATATAAACATTACGTGACCATAAATTTATGTTTGATGCTTATCATTCAATAATAACTTTGCATGAATATAATCTACAGAGATATTTATTTTATTTTCATATATTAAATAACTTTAAAGATCTAATTATGCATCCTAATTGGAGGTATTAATCCGATTTTCCTTTTAAACTTCATTCACTTATTCGCATAAAAGAGCAGCTAGTATTGTTGACATTTTCATAAATGTTTAAACTGAAAGTTTTGCCAAACAAAACTATACAGTTTTTCTCTGGAGTTGCAAGGTAATTAATTATTTATGGCTTGGTGAAATGCGCCACAATCAACAAGGGAGTTTATTTAAAAAATCCAAAGGGAAGAAAACAAATGTTTAAATAAATTTGTGATGAACCTAGAAACGAATTTCAATGTATTTTAAATGACATATATCTTTAAAAGACAAAACTATAAAACCAATGCAATCTTCTGTGATATAAAATTTTTTATAGAAAAACATGGTATCACTTCTCCTTAAAAAGCATTTTTCCTCTATAAATCTCGAATAGAAGAATGGTTGGTGCTTCCTGGAATTTATTCAAATGACGCTGACCCTTCTAGTCAGAAGTTCTTAGTTCTAGAGAACCCATAATTTCTCTGCAGTTTTTTAGTGCTTCCTTTCTTGGTATCATCCCACTCACATCTTGATTGCCTTGGGGGGTTCGGCGAAGCACCTGCCAATTGGGATTGAATAATTGGCTTGCTGCTGCCTCCCCTAGCTTCGAGCCAACTGGATAAATGGAAAACTAAAAGGCTCACAAATCTCAGAGACCGGAGTACTAAGCAGGTGCTGAGATAAGGAGTTATTTACTTCAAACAAATCGAGGGGAAATGGTTTGGCTCCCGAAACTTTGCACTAACATTTTGAGGAGGGTTTTCTTTGAAGCGAGTCGCAGGCGTGACAAAACGATTCACAGCAGTCGGAAAACCGTTAACTGTATTTGCCAAAGCCAACCCGTTTTGGCAAACAGAACTTGGTCTAAAGAGTTGCCCAAACTTTCCATTGGGAAATCGCCGGCGCAGTTGAGTAGAGAAGCGGTGAGGTGAGCTGAACTGAATTGAGCTGAGCTTGGCTCACGCTAATGCACAGCCAAAAGGCAATAACTCAATTGGCAAATATCCGCAGCAGTCGCAGAACCATGAAGCCTGACTCTCCGAAATGTGCAACATAATTCAATTAGTGGTATAAAAGGTCTACAAAGCACACAAATAGAAGCCTGTCGAAACGTCCGCCCTAAAAACACTGAGCCAAATCAGGGTTGTATAACAAATTAAATGACTCTAAACCTAGTTAATAGTTAACTGAACTTTTAGACGATATATCAAACATTCCTTTGACTTTCAAATAAAAGTTTTCATTGACTACTAAACCGTAAACCTTTTGCTTAACTAACCAATACCCTTCAGAATCAATTATAACTTTATTAAAACACTTCCTAAATAATCATAATCACTCTATGCATTTTTCTTTGAGTGCAGATCGAGGTGACGCCTCGGCGAACATGAAATTTGCCAAAGGCCAATGGATTTATCATATATTTAGAGCAGAGCAAACCCCTTGGTTTGGGGGATATATAGGCGCTCGATTTATTTGTCTCTGGTAGCCCCGAAACTCACAGTTAAATGGCTTTTTTTACAGCCGTTCCAAGGTGAACGGGTCACCATGAACAGGGTCGAACTGGACCCAGTCCATGTATCTGTATCGAAGTCAGCGACTCCACCAAAATGTATCTGCATCGGGTTACGACGTGTTGCGCATGCGTTGTTGTCTCTGTCTCTGCATATTTTATGGTAATTCGAACTTGATCCACTCGCCGCCTTGGACTTTCACACAGGCAGGTCCGCGGCCACCCTCGGGATAGGAGTTGTTAGAGTTCCTCGATGGTCCGGTGAAATTTCCCACAGCCAACTTGGATTACACTGGCCTTTCTGTTTGTGGCTCGAATTACAGCCGCCCAAGTTCACTGCCTCCACTCGGACGTTCGGTCAGTCGGCGGTGGCAATTAAAATCAAACCAGCCATTCTTCATCCCGGCAACACTTCATTCCAGCATTAGATCTCCGCCAGATTGCCTTAAATTGCCTGCACTTTCAGCGGAAGCACATGCATTTTTCGCGTGGCAGTCCCACTGTCCACTGTCTTCTGTCCCCTGTGATTTGCGGCAATTGTTGACCATCTGGTTGACCACCTTTCCTGGGATACCTAATGGCCCGGCCCCAGCTGCTGTGGCTTTCTACCACTCCAATCGATTCGGATGTCGAGTTGGTTGTCTTTGTCTCAATGTAACAATAGTTGGTTTGAACTGAAGTCCCTAACGTTTCTATTGTCAATGCAAGTTGTCATTGATTTAAGTTAATTAAAAGTCTCTGTCAGTTGGGAGGATTAAGCTTCAAGAGGGGAAACTAAACATGGACGTACAACTAATCCGGGATTTACTAAGCCTTAACTACTGTTGAGTTGGGGAAACCATTGATTTGTACAGTTTTTTTTATAGATTAGAAAGGAAAATTAAATGAGTTTAAGTTGAGTTTAGTTTCAACTATGCTATAAATAAAGTTTTTAAAAACAATAATTAAGACAGTCTGTAGGTAGCTTTTGGAGAGGCATCCGGAAGATGGTGAAGAATTAATTTAGTAACAACTTGTTTACACTTTCTTTAACCCCAAGACTGTGTAGTTAATCAATAACTATTATCCACTTGAGACTTTCCCAGAATGTCTTTGAAGAAAAGCTATCTCTAGCTTGTTATGACAAGAGTTCACCTCTAAGCTGATGCCTCTCCTGCCTTCGTAATCACCTCTCAAGCCCTGTGGCAATTTTCCACATTTAATTCCCCTGTCCCATTTTCATTTCCCATGCCCCAGCAGGTGCCCCCAGACATAAATATTATATATATATTTCCCCGACTCTTTCGCTCCACACACACACATGATTAATGAATCGAAACTACTAATAACTGCACGCATTGTCCGCGAAGCGGACTGTAAAAAAGTGTTTACTTTCGCAAGCCATGAAAATCTCCAGACACGGCGAAAAAAAAACACAGATCGTGATGATTGCGCAATTGGAAATGCGTAACTTTGATTTCTGGGCCTAATTGAGGCAAGGGAAACATGAAGCGGTGCCAGCAATTAACGCGGCAACCACTTTAATCGCCGCTCGCCCACTGAACGCGGACTCGGAAGCCCCAATCTGGGAAATACATAATGTATTTATTTGTGTTTAACTATTTATAATTGAACGACATGTCGACGTGGATCGAGCAGCGCCATAAGTTCATTTTTACTTACTTACGTCTTACTGCTTACGTTTTATTTGACTCTTTTTTGTTTTGTTTTTCTTTCGAAAAGAAAACAAAAAGTGAAAGTCCAAATATGCAAGGCGACGTGCTGCTGCAACAATGCATATTAATTTCTGGGG